ACCCTCACCCGCACATCCCTGGGCACTATGGGTAATTTCCCATGGCTAACCCACCCTAACCCGCACATCCCTGGGCACTATGGGTAATTTCCCACGGCTAACCCACCCTAACCCGCTCATCCCTGGGCACTATGGGTAATTTCCCACGGCTAACCCACCCTAACCCGCACATCCCTGAGCACTATGGGTAATTTCCCACGGCTAACCCCCCTAGTCTTTGGACTGTGGGAGGAAACCCTTGCAGACACAGTTGAGACAACGTGTGAACGCCCACACAGAAGGACAGCTGCCCAAGGGATGGAATCGAACCCGGGTCCCTGGCGCCGTGAGGCACCCGAGAGTGGGTGAGGCGGGACGTGGGGAGGGAGGGGAGTAACGGACAGCAATGGAGCTGAGTGGAGGGGAATGGAGAAGAGGGGAGCGATTGGACCTTACCTCGGAGCCTGGGCAGGGAGGGTTAGCTGGCCGAGTGCAGACGGAGCTGGGTGTGGGAGAGACGCTAGCTTTTGGTTTAGCAGAGAGAGAGAGAGAGAGATAGTGCTGAGTGGAGGAGAGAGAGCAGGGAAGGGAGAGATAGCATTTTCCAACGGGGGTGTGGGCGAGTTAGCATTCACCAGGATGGGGTGGGTACAGTTTTGGAATTTCCAGGCCTGAAGGGGAGAGAGAGTCTGTGATAACACTGGGGGAGGGGTGGGAGCGATTGAATGAAAAAGGGCAGAATAAGCATGGGCTACGTCTACATCAAAAATTCATACGGTCATCGAGCTGTACAGCACGCAAACAGACCCTTCGGCCCAACTCGTCCATGCTGACCAGATTATCCTAAATTAATCTGGTCTCATTGGCCAGCATTTGGCCCATCTCCCTCTGAACCCTTCCTATTCATGTACCCATCCAGATGCCTTTTAAATGTTGTAATTGTGCCAGGCCCCACCACTTCCTCTGGCAGCTCGTTCCACACACCCTCTGCGTGACAAAGTTGCCCCCTTAGGTCCCTTTTAAATCTTTCCCCCTCTCACCTTAAACCTATGCCCCTCTAGTTTTGGACTCCCCCCATTCTGGGGGGAAAACACCTTGTCTATTCACCCTATCCATGCCCCTCATGATGTTATAAACCTCTATAAGGTCACCCCTCAGTCTCCGACGCTTCAGGGAAAACAGCCCCAGCGTCTCCCTGTAGCTCAAACCCTCCGACATCCTTGTCAATCCTTCACGTTTAAGAACATCCTTCCTGACACAGGGGGATTAGAATTTGAGCGTGTGGAGTTGGGAAAGGGAAGGACAGGGCGGGGTCTGGGAATGAGGGGAGGAAGGTGAAGAGCGAGACAGTGTGTGTGTAAAACCGTGTGCAGCCTAGTTAAAGTCTCCCCGCTTCCTCTCTCTCCATTCCTTCCCTGTCCAGTCTCCTGCGTGTGACTCCTTCCTTGCTCACCCTTCCAAAGGGTGGGCTTCTCTTTCTTTTCATCGCGGTGGGACGAATCTCCAGGATGGCCTGGGGTTGGGGAGGGTGGGGGCGCCAGCGCGGCGCTGGGGAAACGTCGGTGTGCCGTTGACCGCGCGGTGCCCCCGCGGGTCCAATAAAAGTGCCGGAACGTTCCGAGAGAGCTGCGTCCGAGGTTGTCTTGCGTCCCGCGCGGTGGCCCTCCGAGATCCGAACCCAGCGCCCGCGGGCATCGGAGTCTCGGCGCCAGCGAAGTCGGGCTCAGGTTCGGCCGACCGTGATGGATGGAGGTCTTTCGGAATTGGTGGCCCACGTGGAATGCCTGCTGGAAATGCAGGTGGGGGGGTGGGCCTGAATGGCCTCCTCCCACGTCTACCAACTGGTGAAGGGTACTCAAGTTGCTCTAGCCCTGCTGCGGTCGCTTTCTCATTAGAGAAATTGAATTAGTGTGGAAATTTAACTCAAGATAATATTCAATGGCGTTACCATCACTGAATCCCCCTTCACTATCAACATCCTGGGGGGTTCCCATTGACCAAGAAACTGAACACAGTCCAGCCCCACATACACATGGGGGCTACAGGAGCAGGTCAGAGGCTGGGAATTCTGCAGCGAGTCACTCCCCTCCTGTCTTTCCCCAAAGCCCTGTCCCACCATCGACACAAGTCAGGAGGGGGATGGGATACTCCTCTCTTGCCCCTGGTTGGAGGGGGGCAGCTCCGACAACACTCTAGAAGATCCACACCATCCAGCTCCCCCCCCCACCTCCAGCTCGATTGGCCCCACATCCACAAACACCCCCTCCCTCCACCCACCAATGCTCAGCCACCCCAAGATGTGCTGCAGAAATTTGCAAACTTGGAATGGGTGTAGGCCATTCTGCCCCTTGGACCTGCTGTGCCACCCTGGAAGGTCTGGTCTGAGTAAGTTGCCTGTTAAGGATGTACCTACCTCTAATTTTGCCACCTTTTCAGGGTCAAGACTCTGAGAGAGAGAGAAAAAAAAAATCTCTGCATTAAATGGGTGGCCCTTTCGTTCCAGATTCTCCCACAACCCTCTCCACACCCATCCCCGGCTCAATCCCTCTCAAGATCCTAGATGTTTCAGTTTGGTCGCTTTCTCTTCTAAATGTCAGAAGATACAGGCGTAAGACTGTCCAGCCTCTTCCTCCAAAGGCAACCGACCCATCACAGAACAGTGACAGTACTGGTTCTATCCCTCCTCCCCGTGCCAATCTCCTGCCTTACCCAACTCCAACCCTCCACTCCATCCCAATCACCATCTGCTTGCTCTTCCAGTGTGAACCTGCTTCCCCTCACATTTCCAGGTTGCGTATCCCATGCTTGCCGTGTGAGAAAGTTTCTCCTCCCTCGCTCCTTTCGCACATCCCCTTGAAACCTACGTCCCTGTTCCTATTCCGAGCAGGAGCAACTCGCCCCTCTCTACTCCTCCCGGATTTTGGAAAAGCCTCGATCAGGTCTCCCCTCCCTCTTGGCCCTCCTCTCTCCGAGGAAAACACTCCTGACGTCCTCAATCTGTGAGGTCCCTCATCCCCAGAACTGTCCTTCGTAAACTGCTCCTGTGTGCTCTCTCTCTCTGACACGTTCACATCTCCTATAACGTGGCGCCCGCAGCGATACGCAATGCTCCAGCTGATGTCAAAAAAGCCACCCAGGTTTTAGTCCAGTGAATATTCCCTGAACCGCTTCCTACGTAGGGAGCCCTAATCTGTAAGCAGATTCCCCCAAGCCTTCGTTGACAATACCCTGCAAATCCACAAGGGGCAACAGATATGTGGGAACACCAGCCACTCCCCATGCCGACTTGGAAATATATCGGCCGTTCCTTCAGCGTGGCTGGGTCTGAATCCCTGGAATTCCCTCCCCGAGAGGGAAACTGTGGGTCTACCCACAGCGCGCAGACTGATGAAACCAGGACGTGGACTCAATCAATTCTCTCAAGTTCAGATAAAGTTTCTGCTCTCTCATCCTCAATCCTGGTACGTCAGTGGGAAAAGGACACGCAGTGATGAGCAGCTTAAAAATGCCGTCCATCTGTAAGCTCTTCCTGAATCTGACAGCAAGGACAAGAAGCTGTTCTGCCCTTTTGTATTTTTGTCGTTGCATCAGAAGAGCTCAGAGGCCTCTGCAGTTATTGTAAAGAGGTCACAGGATATGAGTTCCCTGATTGGGTCCAATCGGGGAGCCCTGGCTGACAGATATAAACAGGAGTGCCACCCGCTTCTGCTCACTCTGAGAGCTGGGGGAACGGGATCAGCAAAAAGGACGCTCCACGTGTACATACAGGGCAACTAGGTACCGGCCTCTGTGGAGATATTGCAGCGGCGACGAGAGCAAAGCTTGCTCCTGAAGGCTAAGCATTTCTGGCATCAATCCGCTATTCAGGAAGCTTGACTTATTTGCTCCTGCCATCGAAGACTAGGCCCAGTATGTGGACAGAGTGCGTTATTTTGTCTGGGCAAGCGACGCTGGGGCAGATGAAAAACAATGAGTAACCCTTCTGGACCCATGGCTTTTTTTGGCTATTAGGAGCCTAAATTTACACTGAGGCACTAGACACTGAAACCTTTCAAGAGTTGATAAATTCAATTCAGGAATATTACAACCCAAGCCTCCTCTAATTCTGAGATGCTATTTACTCGGCAATTCGAGAACCAGAAGATATGTATTGGGATTTATGACTAGATTAAGACGGCTAGCAGAGGTTTAACCCTTAATGAGATGCTGAGAGACCGGTTGGTATGAGCGATTAATGATATAACCATGCAAAAGCACCTACTAGCTGAAGCCCAACTGGACTCCAAACAGGGATTACAACTGGCCTTATAATTGGAAAATGCAGCAAGTGGAGCATATGAGTTGCTATGTATTCTGATAGAAGAGGACACCCTCGCCAGTCCGACTGAGTTTGGGGAACACTAATTGTGTAAAGGCAATTGCATTGCCTCACG